TCCGGGATGTCGTGCTGGAGGGGAACCGCACTCAGGTGGGGGCCGTGGCGTCTGCTGCCGGCGGTGGATTTCTTTCCTTCGGTCTTTGTGTGTGTGTGTGTTGTGTTTGTGTGTGTGTGTGTGTGTGTGTCTGTGTGTGTGTGTGTTGTGTGTGTGTGTGTGTTGTGGTGTGTGTGTGTGTGTGTGTGTGTGTGTGTGTGTGTGTGTGTGTGCGTGTGTGTGTGTGGTGTGTTCGTGTGTGTGTGTGTGTGTGTGTGTGTGTTCGTGTGTGTGGTGTGTGTGTGTGTTGTGTTCGTGCGTGAGTGTGTGTGTGTGAGTGAGTGAGTGAGTGAGTGAGTGAGTGAGTGTGTGAGTGTGTGTGTGTTTGTGTGTGTTCGTGTGTGTGTGTGTGTGTGTGTGTGTGTGTTCGTGTGTGTGTGTGTGTTCGTGTGTGTGTGTGTGTTGTGTGTGGTGTGTGTGTGTGTGTGTTTGTGTGTGTATGTGTGTCCGTGTCCCGTGTGTTCGTGTGTGTGTTCGTGTGTGTGTGTGTGTGTTTGTGTGGTTTGTGTGTGTGTGAGATCTTACGTTAAAACCAAGAAAGCGCTAATGTGAAGCGAAGCTCACTGTGTAAACTGCATGTCTAACAGGTACAGAGTTACATGAAATACACTTTTATAAAAAAAAAAAAAAAAAAAAAAAAAACACACACACACACAAAGAAACACGAACTCTATCAAGTGTACTCTCTCTCCTCTCTCTTATTTTATCTCTTTATCTTGTCTATTCTTAGATTTTAAACATCAAATATTACTCTGATATTGAATGTTCATTTTTCTCCTTATTAAAGAGAAACATTTCATAACCCTGTACTTGTCTGTAGATTAGCGCTGATTCCATCTTGAAATCAGGGTACAAAACGTAGGAACGAAAACGTATTTAATACAGAAAAAAATCTCAAGACGATAGATACCGCATGTGCGTGTGTGTGAGTGTGAGTGTGGCCCGAGTGATGTGGTGTTGAATCCAAAGAGTTAAATCCCCCGTGTTGGCTGCTCTCGGCTTGCAGGTGTACGTGACTCTACACAGCTACGGACAGGAGATAATCCTTCCCTGGGTGTCGACCTTCACCGCAGTTCATCCGAATCACAAAAACATGGTAAGTTTTTTTTAATTATTACTTATTCTATTTTTAAATATTTTTTTTTTTCATATTCTAGGAGTTATTACTTCTATATCATTTCCCATATTCTAGTTATTACTTCTATATTATTTCATATTCTAGGAGTTTTTTTTTTCTATATCATTTCCATATTCTAGTTATTACTTCTATATTATTTCCATATTCTAGGAGTTATGCTTTTATATTATTTCCATATTCTAGGAGTTATTACTTTTATATTATTTCTATATTCTAGGAGTTATTACTTCTATATCATTTCCATATTCTAGGAGTTATTACTTTTATATTATTTCCATATTCTAGGAGTTATTACTTTTATATTATTTCTATATTCTAGGAGTTATTACTTCTATATCATTTCCATATTGTAGGAGTTATTGCTTCTATATCATTTCCATATTACTTCTATTTTCTCTACTCTACAAGAAGGGACACTGACGTCCTCATTCTGGCTTCAAAAAACCAACAAAACCAAAAAAAAAAAAACACCGGCAGAGTTGGAGGAAACGACCCCAGTTCTCCTCTCTCCGCCATTTCCATATTACTTCTATTCTCTCTACTCTACAAGAAGGGACACTGACGTCCTCATTCTGGAGTTGGAGGAAACGACCTCATTTCTCCTTTCTCCGCAGAGTCGTGTTGGCGAAGGGATGGCCAGGGCGATCGAGGCCAACGACGGCACCAAGTATCGGGTCGGGAATGGCCAAAGCTTTCTCTGTAAGCAACGGCGTCTGCCATTTCGTGCAATGATGATCTGCTTAGGGGAGTTATTGCTTCTATGTCATTTCCATATTCTAGGAGTTAGTGCTGTATTATTTCCATATTCTAGGAGTTATTGCTTCTATATCATTTCCATATTCTAGGAGTTATTGCTTCTATGTCATTTCCATATTCTAGGAGTTATTGCTTCTATGTCATTTCCATATTCTAGGAGTTATTGCTTCTATGTCATTTCCATATTCTAGGAGTTATTGCTTCTATGTCATTTCCATATTCTAGGAGTTATTACTTCTATATCATTTCCATATTCTAGGAGTTATTGTTTTTATATCATTTCCATATTCTAGGAGTTATTACTTCTTTATCATTTCCATATTCTAAGAGTTATTGCTTCTATATCATTCCAATATTCTAGTTATTACTTCTATATCATTTCCATATTCTAGGAGTTATCACTTCTATATCATTTCCATATTCTAGGAGTTATTGCTTCTATGTCATTTCCATATTCTAGGAGTTATTGCTTCTATATCATTTCCATATTCTAGTTATTCCTTCTATATCATTTCCATGTTCTAGGAGTTATTACTTCTATATCATTTCCATATTCTAGTTATTACT